GGAGGTTCAAACCCACCGGAGGTTCAAACCCACCAGCTGCTCCTCAGAAACCCGATGAGTTGGAACTGACTCAATGACACTAACAACAAAAACAATATATATATATTTGTTGTTAAGTGTTATCGAGTCAATTCTGACTCATAGTGACCCTATATAGGGTTTCTGAGGAACGGCTGGTGGGTCTAAACTGCAGACCTTACAATTAGCAGTCCAATGCGTTAAACTGGAGCAATTCTCTTCTGCACACATCGGGCTGCCATGAATTGGAATAAACTCAATGACAACTAACAACAACAGCATACTGCAGGGCCCATAGATAAGAGTTTGTTAAGTAAATGAATGGGTGAATGAATGAATGAAATCATCCTCAGGGAAAAAGCCTAAATTCTAGACTGGCTATCATGATTTCAAATTTTATCTATACAGTACAAGACTGTCTTTTCCACAAATAACACAAGCAGGGTCAATGTATACAATGTGTGTAGCTTAAGCATTGCATAAGGTTGCCACACTGAGATCTGGTTGGGACCCAAATACAACCTGAATTCAGAGCCCTGACATGAGGCTGGCTACCTGGGACAAAGAGACATCCTTTCATAAATTACACAAAAGTTTCACATGTGCGGAGAGAAGTCCTGCGTTGTGGCTCTGTAGGATAAGCACTGAACTGCAAACCACAAGGTCAGTTTCCTTTCTCCATAGGAGAAAGATGAGACTTTTTCTTCTCACAAAAATTTACAGCCTCAAAAACCCTGCAGTGTCAACAACACTTACCATGCTTACAATACTATACGATTTGTTGTTTCTGTTAAGTGCCACTGAGTTGGTTCTAACTCATAGTAACCCTGTATAGGATTTCCAGGGAGCTACTGGTGAGTTTGAATCATCAGCCTTGTTGTTCAAAATAACCTTGCAGTCCAGTGCATTATCCCACAGTGCTACACCATGTAACACCATTATATGATTTACTGCCTGTATATTCCTATGTTTTAGCGCTGCTAGAACAAAAATATCACAAGTGGGTGACTTTAACAGGCAGAAATTTATATTCTCATAGTTTAGGAGATTTAAAGACCAAATTCATGGCACTGGCTTTGGGGAAGATTTCTCTCTATTCTGGGGGAAGGTTCTTTCCTCCTTTCAGTTTGTTTCCCAGTTCATAGGTGACTTTCAAGTGGTTTACCATCTATCTTCCCTCAATTATGCTTACATCTTTCGTGCTTAATCTATACCTTTTATATCTCAAATCTGTTACTTTTTTATCTCAAAAGAAATTGACTCAAGGCACACCTGTACACTACACTGCCTCATAAACATAACAAAGAAAAACCACTCCCAAATGGGATTGTAACCACAGATATAGGGGTTGGACTCTTGGTGTGGTGCTATGGGATAAGCACTGGACTGCAAACCACAAGGTTGGCAGTTCAAGCCCACCAATTGCTCCTCAGAACCCTAACAGGGTCGCTTTGAGTTGGAACCAACTCGATGGCACTTAACAACAACATAGGGATTAAGATTTATAACTTTTGTGTATGTGTGGAGGGGAGGACACACATAATTCAACACACAATACCTTTCTTCCTAGACCCCTGCCCCCACTTGGGTTTGGGGTTAATAGAGGTTTCCATGACAAAGAATGTCACCTTGACAAATAATTTTCTTATCCTTTTGGGCCACATGTTTAGGGCTTTAGGAACAAAGCCTTCCTGGATTGATAAATTCATTAGAACCCTTCTGCATGCAGCCAATGTTAATGTGATTGCTGTGGACTGGGTTTATGGCTCTACGGGTGTCTACTTCTCAGCTGTGGAAAATGTGGTTAAACTGGGCCTTGAGATCTCCCGTTTCCTCCGTGAACTTCTGGTAAGTGCCGAAGATCTCATGGTGTGCTGTGGCTACTTATGGAGCAGAAGGGTCAGAAAGAAAGAAACAACACAGGTAGTAGTAGCAACCCATTAGTTTTAGACTTTGTTGGTTTTTGGTCCAAATGCTAACTTTGCCACTTACAGTGCTGATGATGGGCAGGATATTTGAGGAATTTGAGCCTCAGGTTCCTCCACTGTCAAAGATGATACCATTGTAAATTAGAAATGGTGAGTGAGAATTGCTTGGTATATTGTGGTCCCTTGAGAGGGAACATGATTATTCACACACTATGGGCATTAAAGAGAAAGTTAGGGAATTATCAGGGTTGGGGTGCCCAAGAAGAGAGTAAGTGGTTAACATTTTGCCTTTGACTCTGAAGCATGTGTGGTGGGTGTATCCTGCCTAGGATTCTCTTTTTCTGAAGCATCAGAAGAAAGAGTATGTCTGTGAGGCCAGGGACTGCTGTGGCCAAAATAGAACTCACTGTGGTTGCTTTGTTCTAGGTGCTGGGTGTGTCAGAGCCTTCAATCCACATCATTGGTGTTAGCCTGGGGGCTCATGTTGGGGGCATGGTAGGACATTTCTACAAAGGCCAGTTGGGACGGATAACAGGTAACAGTCTTCTTTATCTATTCTCTTAGGGTTTGTTGTTGTTAACAAATTAAAACAAAAAACAAAAACCATCTTGGCTGAGCAGGGTATAATCCAAGAAATGAAAGAATAATTTAACATTGTTGTTGCTGTTAAACGCCATCCAGTCAGTTCTGACTCATAGTGACCCTACACACAACAGATCAAAACACTGCCTGATCCTGTGCCATCCTCAAAATTGTTGTTAATATGCTTGAGCTCATTGCTGCTGTAATGTGCCAATTCATTTGGTCGGAGGTCTTTCTCTTTTTCGCTGACCCTCCCTTTACCAAGCATGATGTCCTTCTCCAGGGACTGATAACATATCCGATGTATGAAAGATGAAGTCTTGCCATCCTGGGTTCTAAGGAGCATTCTGGCCATACTTCTCCCAACACAGATTTGTTTGTTCTTCTAGTAGTGCATGGTACTTTTAATATTATTCTTGAACACCATTACTCAAAGGCATCAATTCTTCTAGGCGCTTCCTTATTCTTTGTCCTACTTTCACATGCTTTTGAGACTATTCAAAATACCATGGCGTGGGTCAGACACACCTTAGTCCTCAGACTAGCATCTTTACTCTGGAACACTTTAGAGGTCTTGTACAGCAGATTTGCTTAATGCAATACATTGTTTTGTTTCTTGACTGTTGCTTCCATGACTGTTGATAGAGGATCCAAGCAAAATGAAGTCTTTGACAACTTCAATCTTTTCTCCATTCATCATGATGTTATTTATTGGCCAAGTGGTGAGGATTTTTTGTTTTTCTTTATATTAAGGTGCAACCCATACTGAAGGTAGTCTTTAATTTTCTTCAGTAAGTATTTTAAGTCCTCTTCACTTTCAGCAAGCAAGGTTGTATCATCTGTATAGCATAGGTTGTTAATGAGTCTTCTTTCAATCCTGATTCCATGTTTTGCTTCATATAATCCAATTTATCAGATTATTTGCTCAGCATACACATTGAATAAGTATGATGAAAGGATACAACCCAGGTGTACATCTTTCTTGATTTTAAACCATTCAGTATCCCCTTGTTCTGGTTGAACAACTTCCTCTTGGTCTATGTATAAGTTCCTCATGAGTACAATTAAGTGTTCTGGAATATCCATTCTTTGCAAAGTTATCCATAGTTTGTGATGATCCACACAGTTAAAAACATTTGCATAATCAATAAAGTACAGGCAAACATTTTTCTAGTATCTTGCTTTCAGTCAAGAGCCATCTGATGTCAACAGTGATATCTCTCATTTCACGTTCTAGTCTGAATCTGGGTTGATCCTCTGGCAGTTCCCTATCAATGGACTCTTGCAGCTGTTTTTGAATTATCTTCAGCAAAATTTTACTAGCATATGATATTCTCTGATGATTTCCCCGTTCTATTGGGTCATCTCTCTTTTAAATGAACACAAATATGGATCTCTTCCAATCAGATAGCCGGGTCTTCCAAATTTCTTGGCAGAAATGAATGAGTGCCTCCATGACCACATCAGTTTGTTGAAAGATTTCAACTTGTATTCCATCAATTCCCAGAGCCTTGTTTTTTGCCAGTGCATTCAGAGCACATTGGACTTATTTCTTCAGTACCATTGGTTCTGGATCATATGCTACCTCTTGAAATGGTTGACCATTGACCATTTCTTTTTGTTACAGTGCCTCTGAATTTCTTCCATCTTCTGTTGATGCTTTCTGCATCATTCAGTATTTTGCCCATGTTGTTGTTGTTAAGTGCTGTTGAGTCTGTTCTGACTCCTAGCGACCCTGTATAGGGCTACGGAGGAGCAGCTTGTGGGCTTGAACTGCAGACCTGTGGTTCACAGTCCAGTGCTGATCCTATAGCATCATACCAGGAGTCCATAGAATCTTTCAATATTGTAAATAGAGGCTTGAATTTGTTTCTTTAGTTATTTTAGCTTGCGAAATACTGAGCATGTTCTTCTTTTTTGATTTTCTAACTCCAGTTCTTTGCACATACCATTATAATACTTGGCTTTGCTTTCTTGAGCTGCCCTTTGAATTTTCTATTTTTACAATTTTACCTTCTCATTTCTTCCATTTGCTTTAGTTTCTTTGTGCTGGAGAGCAAGTTTCAGAATCTCTTCTGACATCCATTTTGGTTGTTTCTTTCTCTTCCATCTTTTAAATTACCGTTTTCTTTCTTCCTGTATGATGTTGTTGATGTCATTTCACAAGTCTACTGGTCTTCGGTCATGAGTCTCTAATGCATCAAATGTGTTCTTATGATGGTCTATAAATTTATGTGGGATATATTCAATGTCATGTTTTGGCTTCCTTAGATTTGTTTTAATTTTCTTCAGCTTTAGTCTGAACTTGAGTGTTATTAATGTTCTGTTCCACAGTCTGCCTCTGTCCTTGTTTTCACTGAAGACATGGAGCTTTTCCACCATTTCTTCCCACAGATATAGTCAATTTTATTTCTGTGGATTCCATCTGGTGAGGTCCATCCATGTGACTAGTCGTCTTTTACATTGCTTTAAAAAGATATTTGCAATGAAGAAGTCATTGGTCTTGCAAAACTCTGTCATACGACCTCCAGCATTGTTTCTATCATCAAGGCCAGGTTTTCCAACTTCTGATTCTTCCTCTTTGCTTCCAGCCTTTGCATTCCAATGGCTAGTAATTATCAATACATCTTGATTGTATGTTTGATCAACTTTAGACTAAAGAAGTTGGTAGAATTCTTCAATTTCATCATCACTGTTTTTAATGGTTGGTGTGCAAATTTGAATAATAGTGGTATTAACTGGTCTTACTCATAGACATTATCTTAACACCAACAGCATTGTACTTCAAGATAGATCTTAAATGTTCTTTTTGATGATGAATGTGATGCTGTTCTTCTTAAATTTTTTGTTCCCAGGATAGTAAACCATATGACTCAGATTCAAAATGTTCGATACCAGTCCATTTCAGCTCACTAATACCTAGGATATTGATTTTTATGCATTCCATTTCATTTTTGACAACTTCCAATATTCCTAGATTAATACTTCATATATTCCATGTTATTATTAATGGCTGTTTACAGCTACTTCTACTCTTTTTGAGTTATGCCCCATCAGCAAATGAAGGTCCTGAAAGCTTTACTGTATTTGTGTCATCATGGTCAACTCTGCTTTGAGGAGGCAGCTCTTCCCTGTTCACATTTTGAGTACCTTTCAAGCTAGGGACTCATCTTCTGGCACTATATCTGACAATATTCTGCTGCTGTTCGTAATGTTTTCATCTTCTAGTACTGTATCTGACATTGTTCCACTGCTATTTAAAAGCTTTCAATGGCCAAACATTCAGAAATAGTTTGCCTCTCCTGCTTCCTCTTCTGTCTTAGTCTGGAAACTCTGCTGGAACCTGTCCACCATGCAGGTATTTAAAATAGCAGTGGCATAGCTTCCAGCATCACAGCAACATGAAAACTATCCCAGTATGATAAACTGACAAACAACTGGTGGGTCCTAATAAACTACTTGCACTTAAATCCTTGCCTCAAGTTTCCGTCAAGTTGATTCTAACTTCTGTGTTACATCCTCATGTGTTACAGACTCAAATTGAGATGCATAGGGTTTTCTTGGCTGTAATCTTTATGAAAGCAAGTAGGCAGGCCTTTCTTCTATGACACCTTTGGGTGGGTTCAAACCAACAACCTTTTGTTAGGAGCTGAGTAGAAACCACCCAGAGACCTACCTGCCTTGTCACATAGTTTGCTAACTCTTTTGAGGGTAAGAATGGGAGGTAATGGGATCTTGAGTAAGACATGGGGATAGTAATATCTGCTTCACAGTGTTGTGAGGACTAGCAATGTGTGTAAAATGGCCTTGGACAAAGCCTGGTGCATGGCAATTGCTCCAAGAATTATAGCCATTGTTACCACTCTACAAGGATTGATATTACTCACATTAACCCTTACCAAGTGGTTGTCATTTTCAAGCTCATTCTAGAACCAGAATAATTAGGTCATTGAGAGGTTTCCTCAAAAGAAACAACAGAGAGTCTGGTTTCTTGGGAAAGGTAATTTTGAGCTAGTTCTCCCAACCCTTGGGTCCTTGTGGTGGTGATGGTTGTGTACCGTGGGGTTGGTTCCAACTCATAGTGACCCTGAATAGGGTTTCCTAGGCTGTAAATCTTTACAGGAGCAGAAAGCCTCGTCTTTTTCCTGCGGAACAGCTGGTAGTTTTGAACTGCTGACCTTGAGGTTAGCAATTTGACTCATAACTACTACCTGTCAGAACTCCTTTTGGGTCCTTGTAGGGGGATTTATAATCTAAATAGGAAGAACTACCAGGGTAGGGAAGCTGAGGGCCCATGAGTGTCCATGCAGCTCAGAGGAAATTAGCCCCTGATGCCAGTATGTCCCTGTAGGCTTGGACCCTGCTGGACCGGAGTATACCAGAGCCAGACTGGAAGAGCGACTGGATGCTGGAGATGCCCTCTTCGTGGAAGCCATCCACACAGATACTGACAGTGAGCTGGGGTGATAAAGACAAGGGTTAGGAAACTGGCATCTAGCTGTATGACCCTGGACAAGACCCTCACTGACCTCCTGCTGAACAAACAGTGAGGGGTTGATCAGCATGATCTTTAATATCTCTTCCAGCTCTGTCATTTTCTGACCACAAAGATGAATGGTTTTATTTTTAGCCATCAGTAGGCAGGAAGGTTTCATTGACCAAATTAATATTCATTGACCAAAATATTTGGTTCAGACTTTCACTCTATGATCAACAGCAAATCTATGAGTAAGTAATAGGAAAGGCATGATTGTTTGCCAATACTCAGAAAATGCATACTGCATTTCTTTTGGCCATAGCAAAGACTTTAAATTTTGTTCTAAAATCAATAGGAGCAAGGGAATGATTTGGACTACTTTAAAAGATTACGCTGGAAAGAGAAATGAAATTCTGATCCATCTGCAACATAGAAAACTTTTAATTTAGTGAAAAAAGTTAATTGAAAAAGAGCAAATATTGGATGATCTCACCTATCTTAATGAAGAATAGAAAAGTATACGGAGACAAAAGTTCGTTAGTGGTTACAGAGACACGGGAAAGAGAAAAAAGGAGAAGACATTATTTAGGAAGCCAGTGAGGTTTGTGGTTATGGGAAATTTGGCAAAGATTACATTGAATTGACAGATCTTCCAGTATTTACTGATTTATAAAAATTGCGATAAAGGGTATTTTTCTCTAATTTATTAGTAAGAATATCTTTTTATGGATTTATTCTACTTGGTTTCCTTCCAACATGGAAAGTCCCCTTTAGAAAACTGCCTGAAAATTAGATCCTAAGTCTTACAAGACTTAAGAGTGAGGGGTGCACCCATTCTGTAAAGGAAATGAATAGGCTCCCAAGGTCAGATCTCAGGGCTGTAACTGGTAGACTGTAGTAAAAAGCTGATTCTGTAGTAAGAAGCTAATGAGATTTTCCTGCTTTCAGATTTGGGTATCCGGATTCCTGTTGGACATGTGGACTACTTTGTTAATGGAGGTCAAGACCAACCGGGCTGTCCTTCATTCATTCATGCAGGTCAGAAAGACAGACAAAGTTGGGTCTTTGACTGTCTTTGAAATGGGCTTTTCAAAGTTTTCAGGTCTGGTCAACCAGTAATGGAGCGACAGAGGATCTTTTGGTGTCTTTTGCTAAGTCCTAGAATCCTTTACTTAGCACTTGTTGAATGGATGTCTTTACCAGTTGTCTTCAAGTCAATTCCAATTCATGGTGACCACATATGTATCACAGTAGTGCTGTGCTCCACAGGGTTTTCAATGACTGATTTTTAAGAAGTAGATCACTAGGCCTTTCTTCTGAGGTGTTTCTGGGTGGATTCTAACTGCCAATCTTTCAGTTAGCAATTGTGTTACTTAACTATTTGTGACACCCAGTGACTCCATTGCTTAGTCCCATAATGTATTACCCAGCACTTGTTAAATGAATGTCTTTTGAACTCAGGAATTCTAAAAGTAGAGTGCCTGAAATTAAAAGTCTGCATTATATCTTTCAGTGCCTTCCTCTGTCTCATGTTTTACTAACTTGTCTTTTCTCCTGCCATGGTCCAACATCACTCAAGTCAATAACCTTTATTATTCCTTGGACCCTAGTTTGTGGTATAGCCTATAGAGAGCCCAGTGGTGGCAGAAGTAAGTCTATGTGCCCAAAGCTAGCTAACTGAAGGATCAATTCATTGCATGGCTATTTTATCAAATCTACTAAATTTAACTCTCCAAAATAATCTTTTGGAGTATGTTCAAAGAATATGCATCTTTTCTCTTATAAATATATTCTTCTGGAATGTTTCTTTTGAGTATTTTAAATAATATTAAATTTTGTGGAAAGCTAAAACATCACAGGGTTGCTTAGTCTTCTTATGAATATAATTAACATATCAGCATTTCATATGGGGGTTTTAGTTGATCGTGATCTCTGTCTACTGCATTTTTAGACTTTTACTATTTAACCAAATCTTTAACATTTTAAACATCCTTTTAGCAATTCATTGAATAACCACTAACTTAATTTACCTATTCCAAATTATGCTTCTTTTGACAATTTATAAATTTTCAGTAATTCTTATCATATGAGATGGGATTCTTAGGTTTTAATGGCTTTTGAAAATTCCTGTGGCATTTTAATTGACCACTTTTCATTGTTTCTACATAAACCAATGTGAAAAGGGCTTAGCTATCTCATCTCTATCTTCCTGCTGCAGCTAAAAACAGCTGGGGCATACTGAGTGTCCCACCCATGTAGGAAAGCAAGGTTAGAACCTAGTTCAGCTTTGGCTGCTGGCCTCAGAGGGGATGCCAAGGTGAAGGAAAAGTCTAAGAATCCCATAGCTTGGTTTACAACAGATCTCTTAGTGCTGGCCAATCCATCCATTGTGGGTGCCTGTGAACTTTAAAATAATAAACAACAACAACAAAATCAAGTTTCTAATAATTTGGGACATTTGGCAAACTTAATGTGTCAGTCATTGGGTCAGGTGACTCTCAGCACTCTGGTTTCAGAGATGGACCATGAACTGCTGCTGACTCCCTTGATTGTCTCATTGTTGAGGTACATATAATAAGCTTGAGAACATTGGTTGTATTGGTGATTATGAAGGCTAAACATGCAGAAACAGACATTCATTTTAAGAAGTAGAGTCAGCATCTTCAATTTTCTATATGCTACATTTTCTGAAAGAATGTTTGCATGATCTTAAAAGAATGGGTCTCAGAGAACAAACAAGATAGCAGAATGGGTGGAAATGCATTGAGGATCTCCGTCAGCAACAACACAGAATACCAGACCAAGCAGGCTGAGGGGATGGTCCCAGAACTATGAACCACTTGTAAAGGAATATTTAGAAAGTTGGAAGGCTTACAGCCAGTGGAATTTGTAGCAGAAGCAAGAAATCCAGTGCTTTTTAATCCAAGGCACTCAGCTGATCCTGGAGCCACCATCTTGGGTGAGACTGAACCGGGGAAGGATGAGAGCAGCCACGGACGCCTGACAGAACTGTGGACATAAAGGTGTGGACATTATTTTTTTTTTGTATTTGTTTATTGGCCTCTCACTGTCTGCACACTTCAATTCTGGTAACTAGAGAGGGTGCTGAGTGACAGAACACCCCACCCCCACCCCCACCCCCACCCCCAGAGAGTTCTACTATGAATGCACAGAGATCTCCTCAAAATTTAGAGTAATGGTTTCCACTTAAAACCAAACGGCAGTGCAAAGCAGCCACAACCGGCCCTGAACTATTTATCACTAGAAAAAAGGACTGAACTGGGATTGTGGAGCAGGACAGGCAGACTAAAAAGGAAACAGGATGAAAATTAAATCCTGAGTTATGTCATAATCACCAACAGTGGCATCTTGAAATTTTTCAGGAAAAGAGTGAAAAGGGAAGCCCTCCTGATCACATCTACCTGGAGGCAATCAGAAAACATAAAAAAATACCAAAATACATACCCATCTAAGTTTTAAGGACACATCTAACCACTGAATATGCCCAAAAAAAACCAGAAACAGATGACCATATCAGCACATGTCCAGAAACAAGATAAAGTGACTAAACAGATGATCTGGAGGTAGACCTACACTCCATACTGAAGAAGGGCAGGCTTTGGAAATGAATGAGAAGGAATTCAGAAAAATGATTATAAAATGTATCAAAACACTTTACGATGGAGTTGAGAAAAATAAGGAAGAAGTCACGAAAGAGCTACAGGAACAATCAAATAAGAAAGATACAACATTGGAAAAAACAAAACCTACAGAAAGAGATCCAAACGACTAATAATATAATTTTAGAAATGGACAATACACTGAAAGGGCAAAGGAGTAGAATTGAAGAGATGGAAGCCAGAACTAGTGAGTTGGAAGATAAATCTCTCAGTACCACTAAGATAGAAGAACAAACAGAAAAAAAGGATAAAAATGTCTGAAGAAGGTCTAAGATTTATGTTGGATAACATGAAAAGGAATAACTTAAGACTTATCGGCATTCCAGAACAGGAAGAATCACACAAGTCCACAGAAGAGATAGTTGAAGAACTTCTGGAAGAAAATTTCCCTAATATCCTGAAAAGCTAAAGATAAGCATCCAAGAAGCTCTATGAGCCCCAGGAAGGATAACCCTAAAAGAAAAAACTAAGACATATAATAATCAAGCTCTCCAAAATCAAAGATAAGAACAGAATCCTGAAAGCAGCTAGGGAAAAATGACGTGTAACAAACAAAGGCAAGCAAATTAAATTAAGCTCAGATTTCTCAACAGAAGCCATGCAGGCAAAAGGCAATGGGGAGACATATATAAAATCCTGAAAGAAAAAGACTGCTGACCAAGAATCCTCTACCCAGCAAAGCTGTCAATCAAATATGATGGTGTACTCAAAACATTTCAGGATAAACTGGAACTAAGGGATTTTGCCAAAGCCAACCCTGCTATGAAAAACATCCTAAAGCAAGTTCTGTGGACTGAGAACCAACAAGGACAGACAACAACTAGAGATTGATGTATGTGGCAGCATCACCCGGAAGTCAGTCGACAAATGGAAGAGTCAAGAACCGAATAAAACAGTAAGAACAAATTCAGAGGATCTGGGAGGTCATTCTATGATCAAAACAATTACATTGTGAAAAAAAGGTAAACACTGAGGAACAGAGATCTAGGTGGTAGGAAGATCAGGTAAATTATAGGATAAAATAGACTGTCTTAAATGGAGGGAAATGTTAAAGGAATATAAAGTAACCACAATGGTGGCATTGGGATAGGGGGTTTTGGGGAAGGTGGAGGGAGGCAATGGTAGATCACAGGGTAAAGGCAGACACATTATATTTCAGGTGTTGGGGAGGACAATACAAGAAGGATAAGGAGGTGGAAGAACAAGGTAGATAGGGGAACACTGAGACAGGTTTGCATGGGCTATATGGAACAGAGGTAAATAGTGATACATGCTTAACCTTGGAACAATAGGACTCTGTGATACAGGGATCTAGGCATAGTTTAAAGATGAGAAATAATACAAAGATGCTTGCCTATCTTATGAATATTAGTTTCCCTTGCCTACTATTGTAAAATAGACACTTGAGTGGGATAGAAAGGAATGGTGGGAAACAGGATTACAGAAAACTTGTAAGCCTATCTCAGCCCATAACTGATTGGAATACCTAAAAGGGGTTCTAGAACTTGCCCAGTGAAACAGGCCCCTTGCAGAGACTTTGCAGAGTATAGGACCTTAGGTGGAATCCTGAGCCCCATCCAGAACCTTCTGAGGTAGGACATTCCCACTAGAAAGGACAAGCAGACCAGCCTGGAACAGTTAGAGTGATAGAAGATGCATCATCAAAGAAAGATCATCAGGAAAAACCTAAAACAAAAATGTCAGCATGACTGGCTACTGCAAGAATAAGCAAACTGTTTTCAGGGAAGCCAAACAATCAAGTTCCTTCAGGACAAACCCGCCCCCACCCCCAAGACTAAACTCAAAGGAAACACATGAGCAGGCATGTAAGCTTGCTGGTGACCATGTTGGTCTACTGGTGAGTGGAAGAGGGGGAAAGGTAGCAATGAAGAAATGGGCTGAGTTCAACCATGGTCCATTGACTCCCATTGACCTGGAAATGAAAGAGAAAAGGAAGGGCTGCTGGTCCAATGTGTGGTGAGACCTGGGAACACCTGAGCTCATGGACAAGGACATAGCCACAGAGGGCTAGAGGTAACAGTGAAGCATCCAGCTGATGTAAAGTGATGGGAGAGACGTAAGAACCCCCAAATTTGCAGATAGTACCCATTTGACCTAGCCTCGATGGCTTGATAATCAGAACTCAACTAGAGGAAGTTAAAAAAAGAACAACAAAAAACAATTTTTGATAAAGGAAACAAGGGTAAATTGCTACACTTTGATGAACTTGACCTATACTCATGGAGGTTGTTGTTGTTGTTAAGTGCCATCGAGTCGGGTCCGACCCATAGCGACCCTGTACAGGGTTTCCGAGGGTGTAAATCTTTACGGGAGTAGAAAGCCTCATCTTTCTCCCGCGGAGCGGCTGGTAGTTTCGAACCGCTGACCCTAAGGTTCGCAGCCCGATACTCATGGAGGTAGTTAACTCTAAATACCAACAGAGAAGGAAGGAGTCTTCACATTAAGTATCAATGCTATCCCCTCTGTACACAAGGTATAAAGGGACGGGCAACTTAGACATTGGCTACCTAAAATGAGGGGGTGATAAAGGCACAAAGTGGCTGGCTTACAAGGTTTCAAGATGGAATTTAATTTAAGAGTGTGCTGGGGAAGAAAGAGTCCCCACTGAATAGTTGTCATCTTGTCTAGATTGTTGTTAAGTACCGTGGAGTCAGTTCCAACTCATAGTGACCCTGCACAGGGTTTCCGAGGCTGCACATCTTTACTAGAGCAGAAAGCCTCTTCTTTCTGCTGCGGAACAGCTGGTAGTTTTGAACTGCCGACCTTGAGGCTAGCAGCCTGATTCGTAACTACTACGCTATCAAAGTTCCTTCTTGTCTAAGTCTGGTTAAAAGAGATGGGGATAAGATTCTTATGATTCAATAGTGAGTAATTGTTATCATGACTAATTGCGACTATCATAATTGTAAAGGTAGAGGTTTGTTTTTTTTTTAACAAAAATGGGAGAGCAGTTCATCTTACAGTCCAGAAACAAAGGACCCTAGGATCATCAAGGGAGAAGAGCACAAGCAGAATGCTGGACCTTATCCAGAGAAGCAGCGACACCAGACATGGAGGCAGAGATGGGAGCATGGAGACGGGGAGCGGCTGAGGACTCTAGATTCATGGGAAGAGAGGAACTAAGAGAGAGTGGCCATGAGGCTGACTTGCAGAATGTGCCTCTTTGGTGGTGTAAAATTATTATATATGCCTGAGTGGGCTTTTTTTTTTTTTTTTTAAGAGCTAAAAGTGAATAGAGAGAAATACTGTTAACTGATGGTGCATGGAGGGGAATGTAATCATTATGATGAAACATGTTGTATGATTTGTTGAATGTAAAACTGATGGTTTGCCCTGTAAAATTTCACTCAACCCACAATAAAAACTTAAGGGAAAAAAAAAAATATATATATATATATATATATTATCCATAGCTTGTCATGATCCACACAGTCAAAAGCCTTTACATAGTCAATAAAGCACAAGTAAAAAAAAAAAAAAAAATGGGGTCTCAAATCAAGCAACATTCTCAGTAGATTAATTAGCAGGAAAATAAAAAGGAAATGGAAGAATCCAGTACCCATGTCTGCTGTTGCTCGATGCAGTCCAGCCAATTCTGACTCATAGTGACATCATGTGACAGAGTAGAACTCCTCAATAAGATTTTCTGGGCTGTAATCTTTATCACCCTGAATGTGCCTCTGTTAGTGTAGTGCTTATGAATTAGGTTGCTAATCTCATGGTCAGCAGTTTGAAACTACCAGCTGTTCCATGGGAGAAAGATGAGGCTTTCTGCTCCAGTAAAGATATACAGCCTCAGAAACCCTGTACAAGGTCACTAGGAGTCGGAACTGACTCCATTGCACATAACAACAACTACAACAATCTTTATCGAGTCCCTCTTGATGTGGAAAGACTCTTGGTGTGGCACTATAGGATAAGAACTGGACTTCGAACCACAAGCTTGGAGACCCAATATAGGGTCACTATGAGTCAGAGTGAATTGATGGCACTTAACAACAACAATCTTTATGGAAGTCTGTAGAGTAGCTGGTGGAATTGAACCTCTGACCTTTCTGTTAGCAGCCAAGTGGTTAGCCATCAAGCCACCAGGGCTTCTTTTAACTATATCTGCTAATATTCAAAAAAAGTGTCTTGACTTGGGGGACATCCTGTATATTTATAGCCTCTGGAGTCATAAATTCAATAGAGTTACAGTAATTCTCATGAAGGGAATTTCCATTTGTCATGAACTGAAACTTTGACTGTTTTTGTCCCCTGTCTAGGTTACAGTTATCTAATCTGTGATCACATGAGAGCTGTGCATCTCTACATCAGTGTCCTGGAGAATTCCTGTCCATTGATGGCCTTTCCCTGTGCTAGCTACAAGGATTTCCTTGCTGGACACTGCCTGGATTGCTTTAACCCTTTCCTGCTTTCCTGTCCACGGATTGGTAAAAAGCTTCCCCCTTTGGTTTCCTTTGACAATTTGGGGAAAGGTCAAGCTGTGCTATTTGTCACTTCTTTAAATCCTGATCTGTAGTCAAGAGGAAGACTATCCAACTCAGGGAAGGAAAATGAACTGATGAGATGTTTAGCCTCAACACCTTTGTTCTAGGTGGAAGATGACATTAACTCTGTGTCCCACCCTTTGCCCTCTCTATTGCTTCCTGCTGCCATAGTTACTCTGCACACACAATCACACATGCAGTCCCTCAGTCGGAAGTCCCATCTCAAGACACTCTAAAAACATTGCTATCATCTAAAGTCCTTATTCCCACCAGATAGCTTTGACAGGTTTTTCTAGCTAGGTCAATAATTAGGCAACTCCTGATAAACTCTAATTCAAGGAGTTGTGGGGAATCCCCATGAATGGCAACATGATACAATTTAAAGGTGTGAAGTTGTGGTAACCAAATGCCAGCTGGAGGGGTGCCTAATAGCTGAGCAATTTGGGTCCATTCCTAGATGAGGAAGGACAATCTGAGCAGTAATCAGTGACTGGACCTCTAACCCATCTTGTGTTGACCAGAGATTCAATTGCTCTAGGGTTGTTCTGGATGATGAGCTCCAGGAAAAACTCTTGGGCTGTGGAAATGGTCCCCTTGGCCTACACTGCTCTGACCACTTCCCATTCCCAGCTGCCACTCAAACTGCACCAATCTATCATTGTTTATATGAATGAAATGGATAACAGCTAAAACAATGTTAAAATAGGAGCACCAATATGGTTAAGCGCCACTGAGTAGGTTCTGACTCATAATGACTCAATGCCCGAAAGGAAAAAACACATTGACTGGTCCTATACCACGCCCACAATTTTTACACTTCAGGCCATGGCTGCTGCCACTGTGCCAGTCCATCTCTTTGGGGGTCTTCCTCTTTTTTGTTTATGCTCCATTTTACCAAGTATCATGTCCTTCTCCAGAGACTGGTCCGTCCTGATAATACGTCCAAAGCATAACAGAGGAAGTCACACCATGCTATTTTATTCTCAGCATACTTCTACCATCACAGATTTGTTTTGTCTTCTGGTGGACCATGGCACTTTCAATATTTTTATCAAATAATATAAAACAAATGCATCAATTTGATTCTTTATTCATTGTCTTCCTTATTCAATGTCCAACTTTTACATGCATAGGAGACTACTAAAAATACCATGGATTGGGTCAGACGCACCTTAGTCCTCAAACTGGCATCTTTACTCTTGAACACTTTAAAGAGGTCTTGTACAGCACATTTGCCCAGTGCAATAATCATTTGATTTCTTGATTGTTGCTTCCATGACTGTTGATAGTGGATCCAAAGAAAATGAAGTCTTTGACAACTTCAATTTTTTCTTCATTTATCATGATGTTATTTATTGGTCCAGTGGTGAGTATTTTTGTTTTATTTACATTGAGGCACAAACTATACTAAAGATTGAGGTCTTTGGTCTTCATCAGTGAGAATTTTAAGTCCTCTTCACTATCAGCAAGCAAGGTTTTATCATCTGCATATCACAGATTGTTAATGAGTCTTCCTCTAAAACTGATGGTCCGTTCTTCTCATCTAATCCAGTTTCTCAGATTATTTGCACAGCATACACATTGAATAAGTTTGGTGAAAGGATACAACCCTGGTGCACACCTTTCCTGATTTTAAACCATTCAGTATCCCGTTTGAAAGACTGCCTCTTGATCTATGTACAGGTTCTTTGCGAGCACAATTAAGTGTTCTGGAATACCCATTCTTTGCATTGTTATCCATACCTTTTCATGATACACACAGTTGAAAGCCTTTGAGTAGTCAATGAAGCACAGGTAAACAGATTTCTGGTATTCTCTACTTTCAGCAAAGGTCCATCTGATGTTAGCAGTGATAGCCCTCATTCCACATCCTCATCTGAACCCTGCTTGAACCTCTGGCAGTTTCCTGTCAATGTACTGTTGCAGCCGATTTTGAATTACCTTAAGCAAAATTTACTTGTATGTGGTATTAATGATATTGTTCCATGATTTCCACATTCCACTGGGTCACCTCTCTTTGAAATGGGTACAGATGTGGATCTCTTCCAATCATTTTGTCAGGTAGTTATTTTCCATATTTCTTGACATAGATGAGTGAGTGCCTCCAGTGCAGCATCAGTTTGTTTAAAGATTTCTATTTGTATCCCATCAATTCCCGGAGATTTGTTCTTTGCCACTGCTTCAGTACATATTGGATTTCTTTCTTCAATACCATTGGCTCTGGATCATATGCTACCTCTTGAAATGACTGAACATTGACCATTTCTTTTTGGTACAGTGACTATGTGTATTCCTTCCATCTTCTTTTGATGCTTTCTGCATCATTCAATATTTAATCCTTAGAATTCTCCAATGTTTCAAATAAAGGCTTGAGTTTTTCTCCAGTTCTTTCAGCTTGAGAAATGCTGAACATGTTCTTCCCTAATGGTTTTCTAGCTCCAGGTCTTTGCACATTTCATTATAATATTTGACTTTGTCTTCTCAAGCTGCCCTTTGAAAATTTCTGTTCAGCTCTTTACCTCCTCATTTCTTCCATTTGCTTTAGCATCTGTATGCTGGAGAGCAAGTTTTAAAGTTTCTTCTGACATCCATTTTGGTCTTTTCCTTCTTTCTTTTCTTCTTAATGACCTTTTGCTTTCTTCTTGTATGATGTTTTTAATGTCATTTCACAACTCTGTAGTGTCTAATGAATCAAATAGGTTCTTGAGATGGTCTCTTAATTCAGGTGTGATATATTCAAAGTCATATTTTGGTTCTCATGGTCTTCTTTTAATTTTCTTCAGCTTCAGCCTGAACTTTCATATAAGCAATTGATAGTCTGTTCCACATTCAGTCCCTGTCCTTGATTTGGCTGATGATATGGAGCTTTTCCATCGTCTCTTTCCACAGATGTAGCCAATTTGAGTTCTGTGTGTTTCATCTGGTGAGGTTCATGTGTATGGTGGTGGTGGTGGTTATGTGCCATGTATAGTCATCTTTTATATTATTTAAACAAGGTATCTTCAATAAACAAGTCATTAGTCTTGCAAAATTCTGTCATGGAATCTCCAGTATTGTTTCTACCACCAAGATCATATTTTCCAACTAGTAATCCTTCCTCTTTGTTTTCAACCTTGCATTCCTATCCCCAGTAATTATTAATATGTCTTGATTGCATGTTTGACCAGTTTCAGACTGAAGAAGTTGTATGTTTTATCAATTTCAGACTGTCTTTAGTGGTATGTGTGTAAATTTGAATAATATTGGTATTGTCTGATTTCCTTGTAAGCATATGGATATTATCCTACCACAGACAGCTTTGTACTTCAAGATAGATTTTGAAATTTCCTTTTTGATGATGAATGTGACACTATGCCTCTTGAATTTGTCATTCCTGGCATAGTAGATCATATGATTGTCAGATTCAAAATGGCCAATACCAGTCCATTTCAGCTCACTAATGCCTAGGATACCAATCTTTATGTTTTCTGATTGATTTTTGACAACTTCCAATTTTCTTAGATTCATAGTTTGTACCTTCTATGTTCTGATTGTTAATGAGTGTTATACGGCTATTTGTCCTCATTATGAGCTTTTCCCCAACAGCAAATGAAGGTCTCAAAAGTTTACTTCAGTCGCATTATCATGGTCAACTCTAATTTGAGGAGACAACTCTTCCCTATTTGCATTTTCAGTGTCTTCCAGTTTGAGGTGCTAACATATCTGATAATAATCTGGTGCTGTTCCTAATGTTTCAGTGTTCAATATTCTGGTACTATCTGACAGTGTTCACCTAGTATTCATAATGTTTTCAGTGGCTACAAATTCAGAAGTAGTCAGTCTCACCTTCTTCTTCGCCTGTCTTCATCTGGAAGCTCAGCTGAAACCTTTACACCATGAGTAACTCTACTAGTATTTGAAATATTGGTGACATAGCTTCCAGTATAACATCAACACACAAGGCACCATAGTATGACAAACTGACAGACAAGTTGTTAAAAAATGGTATAATAGAGGCAGCAGTACTAGTTGTAATCAAATTGGCTGTATCTCCTAGTGATAACGTGTGTGACAAAGTAAAAGTATGCTCCATAGCATTGTCAATGGCTGATTTTTCAGAAGTATCACCTGACCTTTTGTCTGAGGTAGCTTTGGGTGGACTGGAAATTCCAATCTTCAGTTTACCCCTAAGCCTGTTAATTATTTGCATTATCCAAAGGCTCCTAAAGAATGGGTTGTTGTTGTTGTTTTTGTTGTGTGCCATTGAGTCAACTTTATCTCATAGAGACTCATTAGGACAGAGTAGAACTCCCTCATGGGTTTTCACCAACTGACTTCTTTATGGGAACAGATCACTAAGTCTTTTCTTCCACAGAGCAAGCGATGCATTTAAATAGCTGACTTTTGGCTAGCTGTGAAGCATTTAAGCAAATATATTTAAAGAAGGGGTTGTTGTTGTTGTTAAGTTCTATCAAGTCAGTTCCGACCCATAGCGACCCTGTATAGCGTTTCCGAGGAGCAACTGATGAGCTTGAACCACTGACCTTGCGGTTCAGACTGACTTTACAATCCAGCATATTAACCCACGGTGCCGCACCAGGGCTCCTTAAGAAGGGGGAGTTTCTCATACTAAAGCAAAGCAGCATTGTTTCCTACTCCTTAGTCATATTCCCCTGGCACTGTCTACCCAGCCTGATCTGTCATTACACTTTACTTTGAACCAGTCTTCCCAGAATACATCATGTTTTCTCACCCTGTGTGTCTTTGCCCAGGCTGTACTCACTGCTCAGAATGCCTCTTCTCCACACTTAATAATCATAACTCTCCAGGTCAAAACACTTCCTGTCTCACTGTTTGTCATACTGTGTTGATTTGCTATTGCTGTGATGCTGGAAGCTATGCCATGGGTATTTTAAATACCAGCAGGGTTACCCATGGTGGACAGGTTTCAGCAGAGCTTCCAGAGTAAGACAGACTAGGAAGAAGGAGAGGTGAACTGAATAGCAATGGAACAATGGCTGATAGAGTACTGGTGGTAGTGGTGTGTCACGGTCAGTTCCGACTTATAGCGACCCTGCATAAGGTTTCTGAGGCTGCAAATCTTTAGGGGAGCAGGAAACCTCATCTTTCTCCTGGTGACCTTGAGGTTAGTAGCCTGACTCGTAACCACTATGTTACCAGAGCTTGTTAGATATAGTACTAGAAGATGAAAACATTGTGAACAGCACCAGAATGTTGCCAGAAGTATATATAGTATCAGAAGATAAGCCCTTCACATTGGAAGACACTCAAAATGTGACCTAACTTGTCAAAGTAGAGTTGATCATGATGATTCTAATGGAGTAAAGCTTTCAGGAGTTTCATTTGTTGATGGGAAGAAATAGCTACAAACATCCATTAATAATGAGGAGAAACAGCAGTAAACATTCATTAATAATCAGAATATGGAATGTACAATATATGAATCTAGGAAAATTGGAAGATGTCAGAAAAAATGGAAAGCATAAAGATTGATATCCTAGGCATTAGTGAGCTGAGATTGATATCCTAGGCATTAGTGAGCTGAGATGGACTGGCATAGGCCATTTTGAATCTGACAATCATATGGCTTACTATAATTAGAAACACAAATTCAAGAGGAATGGTGTAACATTCATCATCAAAAAGAACATTTCAAGATCTATCTTGCAGTCCAATACTGTCTATGGTAGAATAACATCCATATGCCTACAGTTAACACTACTATTATTCAGATTTACACAGCAACCATTAAAGTCAGTGATGATGAAATTGAAGAATTCTACCAGCTTCTTCAGACTTAATGTAGTGGTTACTAACGGGCTGCTAATCTCATGGTCAGCAGTTCAAAACTATCAGCTGTTCTGCGGAAGAAAGATAAGGCTTTCTGCTCCCGTAAAGATTTACAGCCTTGGAAACCCTGTGCAGGGTTGCTATGAGTCGGAACCGACTCCACGGCACATAACAACAACAACAACAACCAGCTTCTTCAGACTTACATTCATCAAACATTCAATCAAGATATATTGATCATTACTTGATTGGAAGCAAATGTCAGAAACAAAGAGGAAGGATCAGAAGTTGGAAAATATGGCCTTGGTGATAGAAATGATGCTGGAGATAGCATTATAGAATTTTGTAAGACCAATTGTAAACTTATTCATTACAGATACTTATTTTAAACAACAAAAAAAGATGACTACACTCATGGACCTCACCAGATGAAATACACAGAAATCAAATTGACTACATCTGTGGAAAGAAATGGAACTTGAGCTCCATATCATCAGCCTAAACCAGGCCAGGGGCAGACTGTGGAACAGACCATCAATTGCTCATAATCAAGTTCAGGCTGAAACTGAAGAAAATCAAAACAAGACCATGAAAGCCAAAATATGACCTTAAACATATCCCTCATGAATTTAGAGACCATCTTAAGAACAGATTTGATTCATTAGACATTAATGACCGAAGACCAGAAGAACTGTGGGATAAGATTAAGAACATCACAGAGAAAGAAAACAAAAGATTATTAAAAAGACAGAAATGAAAGAAAAGACCAAGATGGATGTCAGAAGAGACTCTGAAACTGCCTCTCAAATGTAGAGATACTAAAGCAAATGAAAAAAATAAGGATGTAAAAGAGCTGAACAGAAATTTTCAAAAGGCAGCTTGAGCAATCAAATATTATAATGAAATGCACAAAGACCTGGAGTTAGAAAACCAAAAAGAATGAATAAGCTTAGCATTTCTCAAGCTGAAAAAAGAGACGAAAAACTTTGTTGAAGATAATTCAAAAACGCTGCAACAGTACATTGACAGGGAACTGCCAGAAACTCTAGCCAGATTCTGAGGAGGATGTGGGATGAGGAACATCAGATGGATCTTGGCTAGAAACAGAGAATACTTGAAAGATGTTTACCTGTGCTTTATTGATTATGCAAATACTTTTGACTGTGTGAATCATGACAAGCCATAGACAACATTGCAAAGAATGGGTATTCCAGAACACTTGATTGTGCTCATGAGGAACCTGCCCATTGTACATAGGCCAACAGGCAGTCCTTTGAGCAGAATAAGGGGACACTGGATATTTTAAAATCAGGAAAAGTATGTGTCAGGGCTGTATTCTTTCACCATACTTATTCAGTCTGTATTCTAAGCAAATAATCTGAGAAGCTGGATTATTTGAAGAAAGGCATAGCAAGGAATACTCACTAACAACCTGGTGATATGCAAATAATACAACCTTACTTGTTAAAAGTGAAGTGGACTTAAAATACTTACTGATAAAGATCAAAGACCACAACCTTCAGTATGGATTGCATCTTAACATAAAGAAAACAAAAATCCTCACAACTGGACTAATAAGTAATATCATGATAGATGGAGAAAAGATTGCAGTTGTCAAAGACTTCATTTTGCTTGAATCCATTATCAACACTCCTGGAAGTAGCAGTCAAGAAATCAAATGACATATTGCAATAGGCAAATATGCTACATAAGACCTCTTTACAGTGTTCAAGAGCAAAGATATCAGTGTGAGGTCTAACTTGCACCAGATCCAAGCCATGGTATTTTAAATAGCCTCACAAGTACATGAAAGTTGGACAATGAATAAGAAAGACTGTAGGAGAGTTGATGCATTGGAGTTATGGTGTTGGAGAAGAATATTTGAAATACCACAGACTGCCAGAAGAACAAACAAAACTGTGTTGAAAGAATAACAGCCAGAATCCTCCCTAGATGCCAGGATGATGAGACTTTATCTCTCATACTTCAGATATATTATCAGGAGGGACCAGTCCCTGTAGAACATTATGCTTGGTAAAGAGGCGGGTTAGCGAAAAAGAGCAAGACCCCAATGAGATGTATTGGCACAGTGGCAGCAACAATGGGTTCAAGTGTAACCATAATTGTGAGTTTGGACTGGACAGTGGTTCATTCTGTTGTGCCTATAAGTTGGAGCTTACTTTCCTGTACCTAATAAGCACAACCATCATAGTAGATTGTTTTTGCAGGCTGCTGTTGTTGTTATGTGCCATGGAATCAGTTCTGACTCATAATGACCCTGTGTACAGGGTTTCCGAGACTGTAAATCTTTACGGGAACAGAAAGCTTCATCTTTCTCCCATGGAACAGCTAGTAGTTTCAAACTGCTGACCATGAGATTAGCAACCCGATTCGTATCCACTACGCTACCAGAGCTCCTTGTTTTGCAGGCTAGAGAGATAAATTTTCATTTTCTTATACCTTTCATCCAGGCTAGCTGATCTGAAAAATCTGTTCCCTACATATTTGTATGCCTATCCATGACTGAACTGCATTAGTATAAGGTATAGCACATAATGGATTTCTGATGTGGTGCTGTAAGATCAGCAATGGACAGTGAACCACAAAGTTGGCAGTTCAAACCCACCAACTGTTCCTCGGAAACCCTAAACAGGGTCACTATGAGTCAGAAACAACTTGATGGCACCTAACAACAACCAAGCACATAATGAGCAGGCAGTGTAGATGTCTTTAAAATGAATGGGTGCATGAAATAATCAGTGTATAGTGGGGACCATGGGAAGCTGAAATGGCCTCTTCAGAACTCTGCTGTTTCCTTTTCTTTGATTTCAGGGCTGGTAGAACAAGGTGGTATCAAGATAGAGCCTCTTCCCAAGGAAGTGAGAGTCTACCTCCTGACTACTTCCAGCGCTCCATACTGTGGTGAGTAGGGGGAACTCTATAGGCTCCATTCTGCGAATATTCTCAGTGGCAGAGTCAAGGGCTCCATCTTGACTGTTTCAAGCCTAATGTGGTATCAGAAGTGGGAGGTGAAGGATAGAGGGGGAAGGTAGGTTGGACTGGGATAAAACTCATGTGAGAGATAGGGGCAGCAGCCCCAGTCTCAGAACCCAAACTTCAGAGTCAACCCAACCCATTGCTCTACAGATGAAGACTTGAGACCTATGATCCCAGATCCTTTTCCCCATGGAAATTTGCCTTCTAGGGTGCTTCTCTCTAGAGTGGTATTGGGTGTCCTTTGTCTTCCTCTTTTCTACATACTTCTTTCTCCTTCCTTGATGTTCATCTTGTGCGTCTCCCATCCTGATGGCTTACTGGGGTCAGGGCCCCTGAGCAATACCAGTACTTGCCTGCTGCCCACAGTCCCCTTCACCTCATGTTATAGCTGATTTCTCTTTGCTCCAGTCACTGCATTTTATTGAATCTACATGCCAGTGATTGCAAAAGATATTAAATGTGAAAGAAAAGTGTGTATGAGAATCCATGACTACCATTAGCAATGAATTAACCAGCACCCTTCCTAAGTGGTTTGCATTTTAACTAGGGTGATAACCTGCTCTCCTAAAGCAGGTCCCATCTGGTTTGCCATGAATATAGGATATGAGTGTGTTGTCTATCTGGGTACCCTGTGGTGGTATCAAGAACCGCAGCTCCCCGACTCACCATCTACTCCCTGGCCATCTTGGCACTGGGCTCCAATCCCATGCTCACCAGGACAGTGTCCTCTATCAGGCATGCTCCAGCATGGACAGAGAATCTCCTACAACTAACACTTTGGGGCAACAACATTACTGTTCCCTTATAGAACAATTGCTCCTCAGATCATAAATGGTATGATCATCTTAATTTTAGCTGGTTTTCTGATCAGCTGTGGTCAGGTTGGTGGAGGAACCTTTGTGGCAGGAGACTTTCCTGGCACTGAAGTCCTGATGAATGAAGTGTGATATGGAGCCTGAAGCTCACACTCTGGTCACTCAGACCTAGATTCAAATGTTAACAGCCGTGCCGTTAGGAATGAGCTATGTAACTTCTCTGAACCTCTTTTTCCATGTGTGAAAATAAATGGGGACAATAGCAGCAACTACTTCAAAGAATACACTGTAAGGATAAACTAAAACAGTATGCATGAAGTCACTAGCACAGTGACTGGGACCCATGGAGTAAAAGTCCTTTTCCCGCTATCAATGGGAGAATGGGGGAGAAGAATAGAAGGGGGTGTTTCCACCTTCATGGTGGGAGAATTCATGCCTTCCTCTGAGGAACAAAGTAGGGTACAGGGTCGATATGGATTTCCATATGCATCAGCTCATCTGACAAACACATGTGAGGAAATGGAAACCCTGAGTGTCTCAGAGACTTGCAGCTGGGAGAGAAAGCCAAGATCCAACTCCAGATCTTCTGCCTCTAAAACTGATACTCTTTCCACTCATTGCCTGCTTCCGCATTCATGTCTTAGTTCCCACTTTTGAGAACCTGCTAACTGCAGGCCATGTTGTTGTTGTTGTTAAGTGCCGGTGAATCAGTTCTGATTCATAGCCGCGCTGTATAGGGTTTCCGAGAAGCCGCTGGTGAGCTTGAATCGCGGATCTTGCATTTCAAACTGACGTTGCAGTCCCGTGCATTAACCCACAGCGCCACACCAGGACTCCATCGGCAGGCCATATATGTTCTTTATTCTTCTCCTGTCAGTCCTATTGCCCATCAGATGTCAGCATGGTAGGAGGATGTTTTGTCTACGTGGGGGTGCGGGGTGGGGGGACAGTGCTGCTGGGACCTGGAGTCCCATTTCTAATTCTAGCTCCTGGGCAGATTCAGAGTAACCTGAACTGGCTCCTGTGAGTCTGAAAGGCTAAGAATACACAGCACAGGAATGCCTAGTGAACACTTGGAGGTGAAAAGCATTTTAAGGTCCCTGCTGAGGGAGATTCATGAAGCCATAATTTTTCTGTTTCAGGTTTGTTGAGAAATCCCTCTCCCTGGCCCTAGAAACTTGGCCCGGTGTGTTCTAAGCACACAGAAGGACACAGAAAGAAACAAGTCATTCTGAACACCTGTTTGCCTACATGCTCTGAGCCTTTTCTGGGAATCTAAACTGCTCTCCCAGGGGTGCAGGCCATCTGTCTGGGTGCCCTGTGGTGGTATCATGAACCACAGCTCCCCAACTCACCACCTACTCCCTGGCCATCCTGGCACTGGGCTCCAATCCCATGCTCACCAGGACAGTGTCCCCTACCAGGCATGCTCCAGCATGGATACAGAATCTCCTATCAAATAACAGTTTGAGCAACAACATTACTTTTCCCTTGTAGAACAACTGCTCCTCACAGAGTACCTTCTCTATGTTACCACACGGGGTAATCCTCACCGGGCCTTATGAGTGGCAACATGAGAGGTTATTTTTAAAGATGAGCCAACAGAGGCACAGAGAGGTTCAGTAACTTAGCCCAGGTGAAACAGTTCATAAGCAGCAGAGCCTGGTATAGGGCTCTGTGTGCTGCCCCCAAGTCACACGCCTAAAGAGATTTGACATCATTGCTTGTTCCCACGCACTAAACTTTTGTACACTGGACCTGGGCTTCCAAGGATAATACAAAGAAGATGTATTTGATTGATATCTTGATTGATGATCCCTGTTGGCAAAGGAACAGACTCAGTCTAGACAATGAAATTCTTTTCTTTATTCATTTATTTATTACAGTTCAACTTTTTACAGGTATACAAATTATGGACAACAATTACCATAATCAGCTGTGCAACCATATTCTTAATCTAAGATTGCTGTATGTATTCATTGATTTAATTTTCATTCAGACCTATAGTGTGTTTACTGTAATTATCCCCAATTGACACATGAGAAAACTGAAACTCTGGAATGATAAACAATGTGTTCCAGACCACGCTTAACCATGCCATTGCTCTCTGGCGTTCTTGGCTCATTGCACCAATTGACATCTGTCCTTTGCTGTGGTTTGGTTTCCTAGTGCATCACAGCCTCGTGGAGTTTCACTTGAAGGAAGCAAAAAACAAGGACACCAACATTGAAGTCACCTTCCTTAGCAGCAATGTCACCTCCTCAGTCAAGATTACCATGTACGTATGTATTCCACATGCTGACCTCTGTCCTTAAAAGCTACAAACAGAAACAGAAAAGAACAACAAAAATAATTGCCATGGAGTCTACTCCAACTCATGGCAACCCCAAGTGTGTCAGAATAGAACTGTGTTCCCATAGGGTGTGGCACCATAGGATAAGCACTTGACCACAAGGTTGGCAGTTTAAACTCACCAGCCACTCCTCAGAAACCCTATTCAGGGTCACTATGAGTCAGAACTGACTCGATGGCACTTAACAACCACAATCATGTGAAAGTAGACCACTAATCCTTTCTTTTGAGGCTCTTCTGGATGGATTTGAATAACCAACCTCTTGGTTAGTAGCTAAGCACCTAACTGCTTGCATCACCCCAGAACTCCTCTTTAGGAATGGGTTGTCTTTTAATTACACTGCAGCAGAAACTGAGGACATAATATCTGAAAAGGTAGGCACAACCCTTTGGTTGGTTGATGATGCATGGAGGGGATTGTAACCATGGCAATGATACGATGTATGATAGAATGAATGTAAAACTAATGTTCTCCCATGTAAATTATCTTATAATTCACAATAAAACACTAAAAAAAAAAAACTAGTCTTAGAAAGAGACAGTCACTGTATCAGTCAGTCATGAACACAGAGCCTATACCAGGTAGTCCAGTAGAAGAAAGAATTTAGCACAGGGAACTAATGACAGATGGGTTGGGAGAGCTGAAAAAACAAAAGAGGGAGTAGTGAGACAATCAGAAGGGGCCATCACCACCCTAGTGCTAGAGGGACACAGTGAGGGATGGTGTTCTTGGTGTTGTCCAATGAAAGCTGCTGAGCAGAAGCTGGAACCAGGAAGGAAATGCAGCCACTCCAAAAATACTGCCCAAGAAGTCTCCCACCATGGCCACCCCTTGGTAAAACCTCAGTGTTGTCAAGAGAGACTGAGAAATGCAGTTTGCAGGGGGAAATGGAGCTCTGAGAGCAAACAAGCAAGATCCAGCACGCATGAATACAAATGTTTAATTGCAAACAGTGACAAGTGCTATAAGATACAGAAGATCTGGCAGAGTTTGAGGGGCCAGGGAAGGTTCACTAAGGGAGTGTTATTTGAACAGAGATTTGAGGAATTTTCAGAACTCCCTCAGCCCAAGGGGGTTGGTGAGAATATGCCATACTCTTGTGTGTCTAGAACAAAAAGAGCAGGGAATGGCATATGTTGTAAGAAGAAAGAAGAGAAGCAAGGTGAGATCAGACCAGGCCCAGCCTTAAAAAACAGTTAGGGATTTAGGGTTTTATCCCGAGAGCAGCTGGGAGCCACTGAGAGTTTTAAATAGGAGAGTGACAAGATCAGACTTGGGTTTGGAAGCATTTCTAAGGCTGCAGTGGTGGATACTGTGTTGGTTTCCTAGGACTGCCCTAACAAAGCACCACAAACAGGGTGGCTTATAAGAAGAGAAATGTTTTTGTCTTCCAGTTCTGGAAGCCTGGAATCTGAGATCAGGATGTCAGTTATGTTGGTTCCTTCTGAGGCTTTGAGGAAGAGGGTGTTCCATCTTCCTCCTAGCTTCTAGTGGCTCCAGGCATTCCTTGGAAACTGCAGGTCACATGGTATCCTTCTTGTCTTTCTGTCTCTGGGTATCATCTCTACTATAAATTCACCAGCTATATAGGATTAGGACCCACTCTACTCTCTTAAGGAGCCCTGGTGGCACAACAGAGGCTCTGTAGGAGAAATGACTTGGTAATTTGCTCTGGTAAAGACTGAATTGTTGCTGTTGTTAAATGCCATCAAGTCAGTTCCAACTGATAGTGACGCTGTATAGAGCTTCCAAGGCTGTGGGGAGCAGAAGGTGTCTTCTTTCTCCCTCATAGCAACTGGTGGACTTGAACCACCAACCTTGTTGTTCAAAGTCTAGTGCTTATCCTAGAAAACTTTATGGGGCAGTTTTACTCTGTTGCATGAGTCACTATGAGTCAGCATTGACTCGATGGCCCACAACAACTACTTTAGTGTGACTTCATGCTAACCTAACATACTATCTTCAAACTGGGTCATATTCACAGGTGCAGTTGTTAGGACCTCAAAATATCTTTTGGGGGGACACAATTCCACTCATAGCAAATATTAACTGTGCTATCAGAGAAGATAACTCTCTGTTGGGATGAGCGAATATCTCCTCGGCTCCCAATATGCATCCCCTATCCAGTGTTCTGACTCACCCCACATCACACAGCTATTACAGCAGCCACCGCACCAGCATAGATCTGGTGCACACATGAGCATTGAAGATTGTAGCTGGGAATCATTAAATTGAATGATTTTAATTAGATAGGTTCAAGGTTGTGTTAAGTGTTTTCATCATCCCTCTATCCTATTGGTAGATGAGCTAACATTGGCAAGAATCATGACATTGATACACAACCCTGAATGCTCATTAGAATCAACTGGAAAGTTTTTTGTTTTTGTTTTTTTAAAAAAACAAGTAAACACTTGACATCCATGCTCACTGCAGACCCTTTGCATCAGGATCTCTGGGTATAGGAGTTAGATGGTTATACGTTAATAAATTTCTTCAGTGATTCTAATGGACATCTGTAAATTGGTAATTCTCTCTTCTAAAAGAGCTCTGTATTACTCTTCTGAAAGAAGACGATTATCTTTTACCTTCAATTCCTTGATTTTTTTTCCCTTTTGCAGATCAGAAACAGGAAAAACAAAACAAAAAACATCATGTTGTGGGTCTTTTACCTATTGTACATCTCCAATAGTTCCTTCTATTTGGAAACTTTACCAAGGCCAAGTCCCCAAGTCACTCACTTAAAGCATCTGTGACTTATAAACCCTTCAATTCAACCAGTGTCCTAAAGGAACAACCTTCTAATATTTTGCTCTGAACGTTTCACAACACTTTAGGAAGAACAAGCAAACAAACATGGAAGAGCTTTTAAACAACCACACAGGATCTTCCTCTAAGTGTAAAAACAATCCATATTGTCTAACTCTGGACTGAGAGAACACTTGTCATCACTCAGTGAAGGCCAGGAAGGAAAGGGAAGCCAAGCAGGCCGGGCTCTTGGACAATATCCAAAACCACAGGGAGGGCAATTCAGTGCCAACCTTCTCTCTCAATCTGAGTTCCTATTATTCCAGAGACTGAGACGGGTGGAGAGTCACGTACCTTCCTACAGTGTTGTACAGCCCTGCTGGCCTCCTTCCCTGCTCCCCTCACATAACACTCTCAAGACTTTGCTAGGTGGACTGGGCCTTATGCCCTGCTTGGGGACTTTCAAGTCAGGCCTCTGTCTTCTCATACATCTTATCTTCTCATTTCTTACCTTTGTCTAGGGTCTGACAAGCCCGTTTTGAAGCTTCCACCATTCCAGATTGATCTCTTCAGGCTCTTTCCTCCATTGTTCTGACTTTGTCTCAGGGCATGAGTCTAATGTAGGACTTAATCTTGCAAAATGATGGGGAATCTAAGAGATGAGCTGAGAGGGTGGGTTAAGAGGGACCTGGAGTAGATTTTTATTCTGGACCCCCTAGCTCACCAGGTGGAAAGCAGGTTTTATACCTAAGGCTGAATGACTCCAAAGACACCATGCTAGATTAGATAACTTGTCCAAATTTATACCTGGATCACAAGTGTTCCATCTCTGTCAATTTTATCCTTCAAGACCTGTGGTATTGTTTTTGTTTTGTTTATTCATCTACACGTTCACACTCGGCCTAAAACAGAGTAAAACTCACACAAGTCCTTTTGAAATGAATCCCCTAATTGAAGGCTTTTCCTACTGGTGGTGGTGGTTGTGTGCCATTAAGTTGGTTTCGACTTATAATGATCCTGTATAGGGTTTCCGAGGCTGTAACTCTTTATGGGAGAAGAAAGCCTTATCTTTCTTCCTTTTGGTTAGCAGCCCAAAGTATAACCTATTATGCCACTAGAGTTCCTTATGAAGGCTTCTATTTATAGGTAATTGGATCCAAAAGTGATCCTCTTCCAGCTAGGAACCCAGGATGAAGGAAAATTCCCCAGATAGTAAAACTCAGAGAGCTACTATTTTGCTACACTTTCTACTTGTTTACTCTCAAAGAATCAACCAATATTTTTTGAGTCAAGTTCAAAAGTGTGGGTGTCTGGGCAGAGGGACTGGTGATGGTAAGCTCCTCACCTTCAGGCACTCACTTGTTTGAGCACACTGACAAACAGGAGGCAAAAGCAGTATGTGCTGAAGTCATTTACTTTACCTTCTCCTTCCAGACCTAAACGGCAACTTCAGGGGAAAGGAATCATCGCCCACCCTGAACCACAGTGCCAAATAAACCAAGTGAAACTCAAGTTTCAGGCTTCCAATCGGGTTTGGAGAAAAGACCGGAGTACCATTGTTGGGAAGTTCTGCACTGCTCCTTTACCCATCAATGACAGGTATGTACTAGACACCAGACTGTCCCATTCCCAGACACATATCAAGGACTAAGCTTGACCTTAGATGTGTTCAATGTTGAGGTTCAGTAGCATCATGGTGATTAGCATCTTAGAAGAGAAGATATGATAAAGACCCAGGGTTTTCAACTGCTTGCTGAACATCCTGCAGACCCATCTTGTGTCGGGGGTGTTAGGAAGGGAGCCAACAGGTGGGTGGGCTTTAATTTCCCATATCAGTTTCTATATAAGAAACCCTGTTCTGTTTTATGTATTTGATTTCTTTGTAGGATTTTATTGGAGCAAAGATTTTTCATTACACATATCCCCCTCCTTAGCCTCCACTTCAGCTGTAGTATTGGTGACACTCATGCTATGTGTGTATCAGGAACCCACAACCTTCTCACCTTCTCTGTAGCAGGCATTTATATCATTAGCCTTATCACCACCTCTAGGTACCTGGAGGCCAGGAGTTGGCTCCTATTCTAGATTTCTCTCACCAGAAATCAAGAAGACACATGAGCACATAACTTGTCCACTTCCTGTCCCCTCTCTGTCCAACCAAGCACCTGCCCTGAGCACCTACCCTCTTGTTGTTCTTCTTTTGCAGCAAGAAGATGGTCTGCTTACCTAAACCAGTGAACTTACGAGCAGGTGTGGCTACTTTTCATGACCTGAAAACAACCTGTGTATAACATCAGCCAGGGCACAACATGCAGCCCTGGAGTTCTATGGGAACGCCTTATTGTAGGCTGTGAATTATACAGAAGAAGAGAAAACTCCCAGTTATTTCCTCATAATTTGCCTCCTTGGAGGTAAGAGATGACTTATTTTATAAAGCTTGATTTCTATTGCCCTTTGGAAGAGCCATATATAGACAGCATTTTGGTGTTTCTATTAACATTTAACTGCCCCATATCCTTGGGCATCAGTACCTAGTATTCAATAGAAGCATATACCAGGAAATTCCTCTTTAAAAATATTTTTTAGTAAAACTCCATGGAACATCTGAATTGTTTTCTTGGAATGGCATTCTGTTATATACATCAAGTGTGATTTACAGTTTATGGGACTGGAGAAAATAGTAGATGTTGGATCCTTGCTATTGGAATAACCATGGAAAAGAAGCACTTGAACCTAGGAATGAGATGAAGGGAGTGGGGAAGATGACATCATTCACCACCCCTTACTATTGCCACCTCTGGCTGTCTGGAAGCTTTTTTGGAACTGAAGACATTTTTTAGGAATACTGGTGAATCTTGCGAGGTCAGTGTTTTCCAAACTTGAAACTTTGTAAATAACCTTGTATTAACCACAGTTCAGCAAGGAACAAGTGGTGTGCTCAAATTGAGTATTTGAGAAGAATTTACTAAAAGGACTGGTGGTTGTTGTTAAGTGCCATTGAGTTAATTTGACTCATAGTGACCCTGTATAGGGGGTCTGAGGAGCACTTGGTAGTTTTGAAATACCGATCTTGCAGTCCAGTGTTTGTCCTACAGTGCCACACAAGACTGGTACTAAGGTGTTAATGAGGAGTGGTGAGGAACCAACGTCGCCCTCTGGGGCTAGTAGCAGTAGAGGCTGGAGCCCCAGAACCTGAAGGCAGACAGGGCTCGTGGACCTTCAGTCAAGAGACACAGCCAGCCTGCAGCAATCTTGCCAGTCAAACAGATTCTCTGATCTCACTCTCTTCCTCCCTCCATTCTCTTGCTAGTGTTCCTCATTGACTGACCCCCAACTGGAAGCAAAGGGCAAAGCAGATTGGTGTGGCCCAAATAGTCCCCTGGGGGCATAGACTAGAGCACAAAAGGATGGGTATTAACTGGAAAGGAGAGGGGCACACACCTTCACCACTTTTTCAATGTTCAGGTGCCTCCTGGGTTCCTTTGTGTTGTCATTGCTGTTGGATACCATGGAATTGATTTCCATTCATAGCAATCCCATTTGAAAGAAATGCCCCATAGGGTTTTCTAGGCTGTCGTCTTTACAGGAGCAAATCACCAGGTCTTTTCTCCCAGGATGTGGTTGGATATGCTCAAACCACCAACATTTGGCTAATAGTCAAGGGCTTAATTGTTATGCCATCAAGCCTCCTTGGGTTCTTCTATATGTCATGGTTTTCTTTAAATTAATCTTCCTCCTTTTTTTATTTTTATTTTTTTACTTAAATGTGCTTTAAGAGGAAACTGTTGACTTGCTAATTCATTCCCTGCCTAGTAGACAGGGAGATAGATATAAGCAACAGGTTACGATGGCTCTCTCTGGGTCAAGTCACTGGACACCAGGAAAGGGCTTTGGCCTTCTTTCAGACCATGGAAATGCAACTTCAAAGACAGATGATGCAATGTGAACACACACACTTGCTTTATTTCCTGAACTCTCAGCAGGGGTCACATGCCTGAAGAATCAGATGTTCTCTGCTATGATGACTTAGATTTGCATATTGTTTCAGAACCAAATTCCCCTTTTTTCCTTTACTCCACCCACATTCCAAGGAAGAACCTCCCTAGAGATAGCTTTACTACCAGAACTACATTAAGCTACACTTTTTGTTCCTTCATCTTCCGGTTATTGTAACACATGAAATTGTTTGCTGTCCAGGGAGAGCTTGCTTAGCATATAGTCCTCCTTAGGTTTCCTGGCATGTTGCTTTTCTTCCAAGTGTGCAAAAATTATATTATACTTCTGTGATCAAAATTACATTATGTGAAGCTAATGCTAATTGGTGTTGAACTAATTTGCCTATTTTTCACTATCCTCAGTTTTACAGGTTTGCTTTTGGGCTGCCAAAAGATTGTGGAAAAGTTCCATTATCTTTTATTCCATTTATCCACAAATTTTTGGAAGCCTCTTCAGATGTCCTTTCATACATTTCTTCATGTTAATGTATGTGCATAGGATATATGCAGTCGTTTTAAACAAAAATAAAATTGTAATACACCTATCAGTCTGCAATTTGCCTTTGCAACTTAATGTGGTACCATGAATATCGCACCTGATTACTAGACATAGATTTAACTTGTCCACTTGTCCACTGAGTGTATAATATTCCACAATATTAAAATACCAAAATTTAGCCAACCAGATTTTAAACATTTTCTTTGTGATGAGTACTTAAACTTGGTTCCAGTTTTGTTTTTCCCCTAGCTGTAAATGATGCTGCAAAAAATACATTTTGTATTTTTGCATATCCAAATTCATACTAGTGCCTTTATTTCTATATGATATCTATGATAGAGTTCTTTAGTCAGAATTATTAGGTTAAAATGCTGGTAATGCTGGATTACTCTCCAAAAATCCTAACAATTCTCATGCACTCCTCTGGAGATGGGTGAGAAACCTGTTTCTTATATCCTCATGAGCACTTACATTTCTGCTTTTACTAAACTATTTGCGTCACATAGATAAAAAGAGATACTGTATTGCTATTCTGGCTTGCACTTCAATCTACCTTGATGAGGGTGAGTGTTTTACATGCTGTTGTTGGCCATTTGAATTCTTTCTCATGAATGAGTGACTAAACCCTGTGTGCCTCTTCATGGCTATTTTTACCCTGAGAAGAGAAGTGGTTCTTCCAGAATATTCAGGTAAGCTCTACCTTCTTTACTTTCCCATTTTCCCTAAATCCACCCCTCCTCCCCCCATTATTTTTTCTTCCCCTTGTAGCTTCTTTATTTTCTGGTAAGTGAAAGTATTGGTGTTAAAGGTCACAGATAGTTTGAAATGTCCTACCTTTAGAAAAAAAGTATAAAATTGGATATTTGAAGTGATTCATCATTAATTAGCTTAACTATAGACTCGATGGTACTTAACAATAACATAGCTTCACTGCCATTTTGTGTGTGTGATCTATTTGCAAAATGTATAGCCATATTATCAGAGGCATATCTAAGGAAAATAGACTCAATGGCAATTGGTTTTAAAGTGCTGAATCATCTCTCACAGCTGTTGAGGTAAATAATGATGGTGAACAGAAACTGTTCACTGGTGCCCCTCTCAAGTGACACCCAGGACATGTGTCATACCTGCCATAGCCTAGATACATCTCTGCACATTATCCATCTGGCCTGCATAGAGTATGGTGGTTGTGTGCTGTGGAGTCAGTTCCAACTCATTGTAACCCTGGACAGGGTTTCCAAGGCTGTAAATCTTTACGAGAGCAGAAAGCCCCATCTTTCTCCCGCAGAACAGCTGGTAGTTTCGAACTGCTGACCTTGCAGTTTGCAGCCCGATTCATAACCACTACGCTACCAGAGTTATAGTCCTGAAAAATGCCACTTCTCTATCTCATCTCGGGTTTTGCAGTGCAGACACAGACCCTCTGGGTATGTGTCTATACCTCACACCTGTAAGTCTGATTTTTTTAAAAAAGAGACATAATCTTTTAGTGTCAGAGTCCAGTTTTGAATCAATGCCATCATCATGCCACTGTAACATGACTATAATAAGTCATTTTTCTCTTGAGACAAGCATTGCAGTGAAATTTTTCTTGCCACGCTTGAGCCCATTGATGCTGCCACTTGGCCAATCCATCTCACTGGGGGTCTTCCTCTTTTTCTCTGACCCTCCACCTTACCAAACATGATATCCTTCTCCAGCGACTGGTCCCTCCTGACAATATGTCTGAAGTAAGAGAGACGTAGTTTGGCCATTTTGGCTTCCAAGGAGCACTCTGACTGCACTTCTTCCAACACAGATCTGTTGGTTCTATGGGCAGCCCATGGCACTTTAAATATTCTCCTCCAACACCATTACTCAAAAGCATCAATCCTTCTACAGTCTTCCTTATTCACTGTCTAGCTTTCGCATGCATATGAGGTTATTGAAAATACCATGGCTTGGGTAAGGTGTACCTTAGTCCTCAAGCTCTTCAACACTTCAAAAAGGTCTTGTGCAGCAGATTTGCCTAACGCAATACATCATTTGATTTTTTGACTGCTGCTCCCATGAGTGTTGATAGTTCATCCAAGAAGAATGAAGTCCTTGACAACTTCGTTCAGTCTTTTCTCCGTTGATAAGAATGTTGTTTATTAGTCCAGTGGTGAGGATTTTTGTTTTCTTTACATTGAGATGAAATCCACACCGAAGGCTGTGCTCTTTGATCTTTATCAGTAAATATCTTAAGTCTTCTTCACTTTCAGCAAGCAAAGTTGTATCATCTGCGTATTGCAGGTTGTTAATGAGTTTTCCTCTAATGTTGATGCCACGTTTTTCTTCATATAACCCAGTTTCTAGGATTATTTGCTCAGCATACAGGTTGAATAAGTCTGGTGAAAGAATACAAGCTTGTTGCACATCTTTCTTTATGCTAGAGAGCAAGTTTCAGAGTCTCTTCTGATATCTATTTTGACCTTTTACTTCTTTCTTATCTTCTTAATGACTTTTTGCTTTCTTCCTATATTATGTTCTTGATGTCATCCCACAACTTTTCTGGTGTTCGGTTTTTAGTGTTTGATGTATCAAATCTGGTCTTTAGATGATCTCTAAATTCAGGAGGATATATTCTAGGTCATGTTTTGGCTCTCGTGGACTTGTTTTCATTTTCTTCAGCTTCAGTTTGAATTTGCATATGAGTGATTGATGGTCTGTTCCACAGTCTGCCCTTTGCCTTGTTTTCACTGATGATATGGAGCTTTTCCATCGTCTCTTTCCACAGATATAGTCAATTTGATTTCTATGTATTCTATCTGGTGAG